TATATATATATATATATATATATAAAGACAGAAGGGAAGGAACCGACTGTTGCCCCCGTGGGCATCAGTGAATCAGCGGCCCAGCAAGCCCCAAACCCCGAGGGCCGTGAGCTCTCCTAGAGCGGTTAGCCACAATCCCAAATTAACAAACAACATAATTAAGCCAAAGTACAGTTCCGGCGTTTAGGTGTTTTTAGACGACGGAAGGAACTGCCTGGTGCCTAACCCCCTAAGGACCGAGTCTTCGCAATCAAGCCAGCCCCAAGCCCAAAGGGCTGGGGGCACTTGTTGCCCAAGTGGCCACAATTCTGGGCTAAATGTTCTCTATTAAAAAATAAGTATTCCTTATATTGTGGTATTTCTTGAGAGATGGGCCGCGAGAGGATCAACGGACAGCCCATTGTAGTGCCTGCACTGTAGTGAACAGCTCACCCAGCTGACGGTACGTGAATTTCTAAGCGGCGTTGCACAAGTGAACACATCTGATCTAACTCCCGTCGCTACAAATATCCCTGTAGAAAGTGTAAAACACAATTGTTCGAATATTAAAGATTCAAAAACCCGGTTTATTTAGTGTCCGTTTCCCTAACAGAGATCAAGTCCTGCGCGCCTCAGGGAGCAAGCGTCGCGGGTTAACCAGCCCCAAGTCCTAGGGGCTGTAGGCAAGAGTTGCCCATTCGACCACAGTTGTGGTCTAAGAACTGCCTAGCTAGTACTAAATATTCTTCATATTGTGCTCTATGACGGATTCACTCGCCAGAGACTCAGTGGGGAGCCTATTGTAGTGCCCGTGCACTACGAACCACTACGTTGCAACAGGCGTGGAATGGAACTCTTCTCTATATAGAGGCTGGAAAGATACTGCAGGGGGAACAAAGCCACATGGAGAAACAAGATGGCCATGAGGCTCCCTCTACAGAGAGTCAGTTGGGGGGGACCTGGTCGAGCTGCGCAGGATCGGGGGAGGTTGAACTGCTCATGAAGGAACTCACGAGGCAAATGCAGAAAGAGCAGCAGCAGCTTGTAGCGGCAGCATCCTGCGCCGCTGCTGCTGAAGCCCTTCCTCTTGCCAAGGAGAAGCTGGGGAATATGACGGTGAGGCCATCGACGCTCATGGTCGTGAGGCATCCCGTTGCGGAGGTAGTACTAGTGCCAGCAACAGCGCCAGTGAAATCAGCTGCTTCACCTGCAGGTGATGCCGCAGACGCAGTAGCCATTCGCGCCCCTGGAGATGCGATCGGTGAGATCGTTGGGAACTGCATTGGCAGCAACAGTAGCATGAACAACACAAACGGCAGCACGAGCAGCAGCAACAGAGTAGAACTCCTTGACGTATCTGTAAAAGACAAGCATTTGGAAAATCGGCTGCTCTGCGCCTGCCCAGAGCTTAGAAGACTGCTGGGGCGGGGGTTGACCGTTTTGGAGTTCACAGACATGGCCAGACAAAGGCAACAGGAGCAACAACATCGAACACTGGAGCAACGAGAGCAACATGCGCAGGTGCAGTCGCCGTATGTGTTGGTGCGGCGAGGCCTCCCCAAGTTTTTTGATCTCGATTGGGAGTCGCTCGCTTGTTACTTTCTGCAGGCCCTCTCGCAACAGCAGCAACAGCAACAACAAGTAAAGCAGGGGAAACAGCAACAGCAACAGGAGCAACAGCAAGAGCAACAACAAAAGCAGGAGCGGCGCCTTGTGGAACACCCGAACCGCCAACTGCCAGAGGTGAAAACGGGAATGAAGGACCAACAACAGCAGCAGAAATGCCGAGTGATAAACCCGGTGCAGCCGGCCCGAAGACCTGTTGAGCAAAACCAGCAGGGACAAATGGGAAAGCAGCCGCAGAAGGAAAAGAAAGGGGCTGCCGTCTGCAATGCTTTTGCAGTTTGCAAGGGGAAGAGTGATGAGGTACTGCTGTGGGCGCATCAATTGTCGCGATCTCTCTTGCAGTGCTTCGCTTCTCCCAGTATGAGCAACGATGCAGCAAGTAGCAATAGCAGTAACGGGAGCAGCTGCAGCAGAAGCATCAGTGGAGGCATGGTGGAAGTGTGGGCCTTAGAGAAGTTAAATGGAGAGGCTGCTCATATATCCTTCTGCAGCCAACTTAAGGCGTGGGCATGCTGCAGCAAGAATGTGTGCCTCCTGCTTCCAGCTGGTGCTGCTGTTGCCAGCAGCTGCAAGTACACCATGCCAGGGATGAGTGCGTCTCGAGATGACGCGGCGCTGAGAGACTCATCTCATCAGCAACGGCTGGCAGCGGGAGTACTGCAGGGACCATCTCACCTGCAGGAGCAGCGGACCAGTAGGAAGCAGCAGCAGCAGGCGCAGCGGCAGGCTTTCAAGCTGCTTAGGCCGCTTGGCCTCGATCGCTTTGTGTCACACACCGTTCCCCCTAAAGGACAAAAACAACCTTACCGAGAACAGTATGCCTTGAGGGTCGCTGATGCCTGGCAGCGCCTGCTGAAGCACTTGACAGAAGAACAGGTACGTCATCTATTAGCACGCAACGCTGTAGTTCCTGACCAGCAGGTTAAGACAGTGGCAGTGTTCCCAGTGGCAGCGGCCCCACACCTGGCTGTTCACATACTTGGGCTCTCACATCGGTGACCTGCGTTGACTTTGAGGGGAGCTCAGGGATGAGCTGATTCACTGCCTAGGGTTTTCGTTTAGGGTCTACAGCTTGTGGCGTGTGCTCGGTGGAGGCTGCACACAGGTCGAGAAGCTGCAGTCATTGTTGCAGAGCAATACTCTGGTAGGCGAGCTGATCGGCACTGAGGAGAGACAGCACATCGTCCGTGCATCCACGCGGCAGCCGCACCTCCAGCAACAGGAGCAGAAGCAACATTTTGAGCAGGAGGAGCAGCGGCAGGAACACGAAGAGACACAAACGGGGAGATTGACGTTTTTTGCGCTGGTGCCCCACAAGTCGGATTCCGTTAACACGCCCTTTTGTGGACCTCCTTGCCGCAGCCCAGGCGTAGCGCTGCCGCTGCTTGAGTCCTTGGGCCTCGAGACAGCACGAGTAGCTGCACGCCTGCAGGCTTCGTCCCCCATTGAGCTGCTGCTGCAGCTGCGTCAACTCGAGCATGAGAAAGACTCGCCGTCTCCATTCGAGACTGAAGGGCTTGTTCTGTATTTCTGCAGATGCAAAAGCAGTGTTGGCAACGAAAGGGACAACAGCAGCAGTGGCGGTAGCAACAGCATCGCTAGCAGTAACACCATGAGCGGCGACAGCTGCTCTCAGGAAGAATCTGTTGTTGTGGCTCTCGCCAAGGCCAAAACCACATTCTACCAAATGCGCAGGAAGATAAGGGAGCGTATGAAACGCTTGATACAGAGTTGCTGTTTCTGGGAAGCAGCGGCAGCAGCTGCTTCAGCTGCGGCTTGTCCAGCAGAACAGCCATCCGACGCAAAGGGGAAGCAAATTTTCGCTGATTTTGTTCTGGAGGCACTTGATGTTCCCTCCAAAGCTGCGTCTGCGGCTGCCTACGCAAACGGGAGCGAGGCGGAGTTAACTGCCGACATATCAGCCGATGCAACATCACCTGAAGCAGAAGCATCTCGCCGTGTCCAGATGGCTCAGACTGTTGGAATGTACTGGTGCAGTGCCCTTGAAGGGGAACTGAGTCGCTTTTGTGATATGCTCAAATCTTTCGTGCCTCAGCGTACCCTGCGTCCTCTTCTCAAAGAAATTGTAAACCGGCAGTCCGTACGGAAGGAGGCGAAGGTGCTGCTACGGCAGCTGGTCCTGCACAAGCAAGAGTTGGACCGTCTCGTACAGACGGAGAATTCTTCTTTCAGAAAGGCGGTGGCATTTAGCTGCTCGCTGGCTGCATCGCTGCTGTTGGCACTGCGATGCCTCCCAGATCCGCAGCACGTATCTCTCCTCTGGCAAGAGCATCAGAGTCCACAGCCTCCGCTGCTACAGCAACAACAGCAGGGACGGGTGGGAGAGTGCAGCGGCAGGGGCGCGGAGCTACACAAAGACTTGCAAGACATAGGCTATCTTCGGGACCTAATCTGCGTGCCGGCTACGAGGAAGAAGAGAGACACTGGGGCTCCTCTTATTCAGTTCTTGATGGCTTATGTTGACATGAGGTTTCTGGACTTTATGGAGGACAGCAGAGAATTCGGTGAGGTCATGGATATGCCTCATATATGGAGAGCCCCTACGCAGAAGCTGCTGCTGACTCACATGCAACGAGTAAACAGCAGCAGCGGCAGGAGGGTTAGGCATCCATTCGTTATCGTCAGGATGGCAGACCTCAACGGGGCGGGTGCCGCCGTTTTGACTCCGAAGCACTGGCAGCACGTACAAAAGAACAAGCCGCGATTGAACCAGCAGCGAGCCACCGCGTACCTTGTGGTTCCTCCTTTGCTGTTGACTGCTTATCAGTTTTATGAACTACGGCAAGTGTGCCTTGATCATGGCTGCCGCTTGCTGTTGCGTCACAGGGCGTGCGCTGCTGGATGCTGTTGCTGCAGCCTTCACGACTCCAGAAGCAACTGTCCTGGTGGCGCCCGTGAAGCGGTAACTGTCTCCGCCGCCACCGCAGATTCTGCATCGCTAGTTGTGCTGTGGGGTCTCGATGAGCACGGTAGCTGTGTCTCTTCCGAGAGACTTCACCAGCTGCAGCAGCTGCAGACGCACGAGCAGCTACGAGAGCACAACCATAGTTGGCGAGGCATAGCCTTAGTCAACCAAAGTGGTGCCATTGAAGGGCTATATGATTTTGGCTTTGAGGGGGGACTAGGTAATGCGTCCTCACAAGGTGCAACACGCTACCTCGTGGCGGAAACTGCTGTGGGGAAAGCCATATTACAAGCAGGGGGCAGAGTCGCTGAAGGCATTCTTGCTTTGGCTTCGAAGTGTTGCAACAGGAACATGTTGGACACCAAATGCGGCGGCTCTCAGGCGCCTTTGCGGCCTGAAGCTGCTACTTCGGATCCCCGTCGAACCATTGTGAAGCTTCCTGCTTTGCTGGTGGCGAAAGGAACTGGTGTTCAGGAGAGGGGGATTTGGCAGCGGGCAGTTGAACAATTTGCTGCTGCAGTGAAGGCTGTGATGCACAACACAGGCTACGGTTCTGACCCACGAGCATACAACAAGACAGGAACTTTGGGACCCCCACCTGCAGCTGTCTTTTCCTCCGAGTCCCCGTATTCCGGGACAGGCTTCGTTAGAGACAGTTGTCAGGGGATGACCACTTCAGCTGACTCTGCAGGGCTACCTTCGCCTCCATCGCCCGCTGCCTCGGTAGTTGTGCTGCTGCCAGTAGGCCTCCCTGGCAGCGGGAAGACAACCGTGATGCTGGAAGCTCTGCGTCCTGCTCTGAGACACGAATTCATGTCCAGGAATACCGTCTCCGTCGGAGGAGTAACTGGTGAGATTAACATGATCTAGTCGAGAGTTCAGGGTTTAGAATTTGCTCTACTCATTGCCGATGGAGAGTTCACCACCTCCTGTGCTTGCGTTCTTTTCCGTCTCATTTCTTTGCAGGTCTCGTCATTTGGGAGGGGCGCCCTCCGAACTCTCTGAAGAAGATGAGGGCAGCGACGACGACAGCGTTTGCAACAACACCAGGTGCAGCGGTGACCACAGCAGCAACATCAGCCGTAGCAAGCTCTTCTGCAACGGGGATGTCGACCAGGGCATCCGCAACAGCAACACCAACAGTAACGGCAGGGGCACCAGTTGCACTGTCAGCGCCGTTTGAGTCTGTATTTGACTGTGTATGTTTCTTAAGCTCAGACGAATTTACGGGTGAAGTTTTGAGGTCCTTAGGACACAACACCCCTACCGGGTTGCTTCACCAGCTGTGTCTTGAAGAAGCACTGAGGGCAGGTCCAGCAGCTGCGGCAAGACTGAGCTCCCCTCGTGTACACAGGGACTCCGGTGGCCCTTTTGCTCTGTATCCGGATGACAAGACTATGAACGTTGCAATATCAGAGGGCAAAAAGCTTTTAGAAAATGCTCTCAATGACTTTTTCGTGCAGTTGACCGACACTCTTGTGAATCGATTCTTACAAGAGGAACAAAGGCGGCAGCCAGCGAAGGAAGGGTCTTCCCCAGCAGAGTGTTGGAGTCCCCTCCGTGTCTTGGTCGTTGTGGACAGAAACCATCCCCCTAACGCCATAACCAGCCGCTTTTCAGAGGTGGAGAAATTGCTGCGTGATCTCCAGTGGGCAGTCTTAACTCGCTGTGGGGTGCTGGTGAAAGTTGCAACTGCAGCTCTGCTGCTACTTCCTGATGCGGCCCAAGACAGATCTTCCGTGCTTTTCAGGCTTCCGAGTGGATGCTCCAATGCACACATTTCGTGGAACTTCCCTTGGTCCATCGAAGTGGTTCTCATCTGTATGTACAGGGTGCTGTGCCGCGGCGCTCATGCCACGCTCACTGGTGGAAGAGGAGGTCTTCATGCTCCCTTTGAGGGCCTCTCGGACGTCGCTTCTGACCCAGACATTGAACAGGACGTGAAGGCTCTGCATATCTGCTTCTCATTCCTTTCTTTGTTCAGAGGATTGCCCAACGTGCACGACTTCCTTCGCAGGAACTCCAACGTAACTCACGTGCTGCAGCTCCAGACAATGCTAACGACTCAGCAGCAGCAGAAAAAGGTGCTCCAACCGGTGCACCAGCAGCTGGAGAAACAGCAGCAGCTGCTACTCACAGCCCTTTCCTCCCTTAAGCCCTTCAGGGATCCGGCGAAGAACCAACGTGTTCTGTACACAGCTCTCGCGGAAAGTCTGAGGCAATTCCCACCAGAGGGTCCAGTTTCGGGAGAGCATCACGCGAACCAGCTTGCGACAATCGGCCATCGTGCAAATGAGCTGCTGCAGCATATTGACAGCGTGTTTCTTTCGATGGAAGAACCGCTGCTGCAACAGAGCCACCAGATGGTAGAGCATCAGCTGCAGCGACAGCAGCCACAACGACAGAATGAACCACAAGAACAGCGCCATCACGACAAAGTGGCACCCTGTGTCAGATTGCAGCAGCCTCAAGGCGACTCAGGCCAAGTGGCAACGGAAGAGAGCGGCAGGATGGAGTTTAAGGGGTTGGACCCTCCCACTGTAGACTTGAAACTAAGGCTTCCGAAATACTTCAGCGTTTTTCTAGGGGGCGAGAAGGAGGCGCTTACGTCGCTCACCCAGCAGTTACTAGTATCGGCTCAGAATGCAGGTGGCGCTGGGGTGCCTTCCGTCGTAGACATTTGCGAGAACCTCAAGCCCGTGGACAAATTTCACACGACGACGTTCTTCTTGGGGGGAGACACGCTGAGGGCAAGCCGCCGAGAGATTGAGGCTGCGAACGAATGGCTGGACGGACAGCTCGGCGCCACTTCACATGATGTCTCTTGTAGAGACGCCGCTAGCAAGGACCCTTGCTCGTATTCCTGCGTTTCACCTCGTATTCTCCGCCTTTACGAGCTATTGGCATCGCGGAGACAGCTCAATCATTACTTCAAATTTCGGGTGACTCACTTGCTCCTCACGGATATCGGGTTGGCCTGTGCGGCATTAACCCCTCTCTCCCCGGTCCTGCCGCTAGCAGAGCCTTCGCGACCGCGGACATCCGCCATCCAGGTCTCAATAGGTAGCAGCACTTTGCTAGGGGATTCTCTCTCGGGAGATCAAGTGGATGGTCCCGTTAGCTTAGAACTTGCTAAGACGGCGAGGGAGGTGGATGCCGGTGTCGGGCAGTGCGGACCTTCCTGTGCTGTATGTGGGCCTCACGAAGTACCCAGGCAGGCTTCAGGTTTGCAGCCCTTGTGCATGGCTGCATATCACTACGCGCACGTTACTCTAGGCCTTTCTGGAGGTGCAACGGCAGTGATGTCCAATGACACTATAGCAGCGGCAGACAAGGCCATATTACAGGGCATACGTGAGAAAAAACTTAGGGCGAACACGCCTAGACCCTTCCGGACGGGTAGCGCACGCAATGCAGTAGGCGTTCCTGAGGATCGAGGCAAGCCCCCTGTTGCCAAAGATGCGTACCACAATCTACAGTGTTGCCCAGTAGGAGGCAGCGATGACCCGCAAGAGCTCATGTTCTTCACAGGGGTGCCCATTGGGAACCGGTGTGCCAGGTTGTGGGTTTGGTCCGTACCGACTGAGGTGCAGGAAGAGGTTGAGGGACCCGTGCAGGCCTGTTAAGCGAGTTTGAGTTGCGGTTGTTGGCCTGTATGTACCGCAGAGCTTCGGGGGCAACAGGGAAGGTGCATGCCCTCTTCATGAGCCTAAAACTTTTTTGGTTTCTCCTTCAGAGTTTTTTTGCTTCGTAGTAGTTAATATATTTTCCCCTTACGTCCATGGTTACTTTGCTGCCTCCAAACGTCTTAGTAGGGTTTAACGTATGATGGCACCATAGAACAGACCGTATATAGCTTCCAGCTAGAGCTTTGCCACATGACGGTTGCTTAGTCCAGAAGAGGGTTCATCGCTAACCACTGTGTTATACCTGGCTACATGCAGCTTAAATTCGATACCGTGGGAGACAACGACAGATGCGGAAGAATTGCAAGTTCCAGTAGATCCAGAGCGCAGCAGCAGTGGAAGCAGCAACTTGCAGCTGTTGTAAACCCTGAGGCCGCTGGAGGTCGAAGTCACGTGGGCCAGTGCAGTTGTAGAGCCACACAGGTATGTTTGCAGTGGTGGAAACAGCTCGGCACGCACAACGCACAAAGACTGATTCTGTCTTCCGATCTGTAGTATGTGCGACTGCCCAGGGCTTGTGCAGCATAGAAATGCAAGCCAAACAGGTGCTATCTCTGAGTGGTTTACATAGCGTGATCCTCTAGATTCGACGGCAGTATTCATGCTTTACTGTATAGGAAGCTTCATAGAGTAGAGTGAAAGAATGAGACGAAAATGCTGCTTCTTTACGCAGACGGGTGCGGGGAGTTCGTCTTCAGCCGGCATATTGACTCTACATGACCCAGCATTGTACTGTCGCACCTCTGTCTGCGCAAAGAAGACTATTCGAAAGGATTCGTTGAGTGATGGAAGTGCATCTGCGCAACACTGTGGTTCATGCTCTACGGAGTCACGTACGCATACGTGCGCATAGTATGTCAAACAATATTTGTGTTGCTGTGAGTTTAAAGGAACATAGGGGATGTTCACATTAATGTAAACATCATCAGCAGGATCCTTTCGCAGTAATTTTTCCTTACGAAAACCAAAAGTATCACCTCGGACAGTGTAATACGAATGCACAAACTGTCCCCACTAATCATTACCTATCTCCTAAAAGCCAACAAAGTATAAACGATGCCTTGTCTTATTCTCCCGTGTTGCAGTCTTCATGGAGACACGCCTGCTTGAAACACTCTGTTGTTCTCAAAGTAAAGGTTCCAAAACACTTGTTGCAGATGCAACTGAGGGCCACCAGCAACCGGAAGAAAGCTCAGGGCAAACCACGAGCACACCCCTAGGCGTAGGGCAGGTTGACCGTGACAGCAGAACATCTGAGGGCGCTTGAAGTTTGATATGGCGCTTGGCGCCGACAAAGGCAGGGAGGGACCTTCGTTGGCAATATCTGTTCAGCATACGACAAGTTCCTGAAACCTTCGCCCAGCTTCGTGGGAGCAGGGATTAGTGAGATGCATTAATTGCACCAGTTGGAAAGGAAACCAACAGATTTGTTTAACAGGAATTGCTTTTGGTTGACGGGCCGGTAACTATACTCGGTCGGACTCTGGAAAAACAGTAATGGGCTGACTTCAACTTGTTAGAAAGGATACTGTGTGCAGTCCAGTTTCTTCGTAGTTTCTCCACCTGGGTGGGAATATGACACGCAACAGACTGCCTCAACATGTACACCAGTTTTGAGGGAGGGAACGAACAACGCTGAACCCGGCGTGAGACGCATCCACGACCAGAAACCCGCTCCTCAACTACTCAGGGTGCGATGTACTAGTGAAGCATGTTCTCGTCAATGACTATTATGAATGCAGCTTCGTGTGGATATTGTGGGTGCACCATCTTTGCTGTTTGAATTGTGCGAATGGAAGTCTGTGTTTCCTCTGATGGAGATATCGTTTAACCATGGCTAGGCAAAAGGAAGCGCAAGCTTTAGCTACAGCCACTCTTGGGAAGGGAACATGTTGTCGTACAAGCACTCCCTGGCCGTCGCCAGGAGCATGAATTCCTATGCCTGCATGCACTTGATTGCTGCTCGACAGAAACAATATCAATGTATCATCTCCAGAGCCAACTTTGTCTCAAAACTCCCAACAGAGGAGAGCGTAGGTTGCCGTAGGAACGCCCAGGCTCCTTGATGCATTGTTTCGCACTAGCACATTGAATAGCTGTAAAAGAAAGCGTGTCTGCCCTCTATGCATCCACACACTTTCAAACTTCAGGAGCATGTCACTGAGACCTGTCGGAAGCAGATAGCTCCTTTTGATCCTGATGCTGTGCAGTTAGCCGGTTCCAGTTCGTGTTCGCTTGAAAAAAGCAACATCGCCTGCTAACCAAATTTTAAGGTTAGAACCCTTGTTGCAATGTGCGCCTCTATTGATGCTTGGTTTTTGCAAGCTTCAACTTGTGTACCCTGCATTTGTTTTTATTGTGAGCTCCACAGTTTATCAGTGCAGGCAAATAGTGCTCCCCCTACCACGCATATCGGAAACTACAGTGCACCACAGCATCGCTGACCGCCGATTTTTTGTTGGCTGTTGTGGCTGTTTTAGAGTCATGTCACAAGGATTAAAAAGAGTGGCACGCTACATACTATAACTGGAGAAAGGTTCAGTGCTCTCTAGGTTTGGTGCTTACTTGTGGCACTTCTTGTACGTGGCCCTGAAGCACTTCTTAGCACAGTAACTGATCCGTGTTAAGGGTCCAGTATGTTCCAGAAATTGAGATGCTTCATTATTAGTGAATGATTAAGACATTATGATGGAGATATTCTGGGGGCTCTTTATGCCTCCAAGAAGTGCGATTTCCTGTGCTCAGCCCATCCAACAGAAGTTGCTGTACCTGCAAGTGTTAGCATTAGAAACATCCTAAATGCTCCAGATCTTGGAATTTCGGAGAGGGACGGGCCACTTGTGTTTAACGTTGCGGGTTCCAGGTACACTGCCTAACGAACCGTTAGCTGTTGCCCACTCCTGTACTGGCGCAAATAGCACCTATGTCAAAAGAACGCTGCCCTTGCGTTTTCATAGACGGGGATATGATTCAAGACCTGCCAACAGATTATGTACCTAGCGACGCCACCACACTTCCCTGACAACAACTCCCCATATGCCCACTACGGTGGAGCAACACCCCAGCGGCTGTTTTCTGTTGTATACTGGAGGATGAATTGGATATATTTCGGAAGATGTTCATATCGAATGAATTGCTTGCCAATACCATGGGTTGAAGAGTGAGCTGCTGGTATTCTCAAGGGAGCTTTTACTTAGTTAGCAACTACTGAGTTGGCACGGAAGTACAGTGCATGTTTCTTCTTCGGATAGCACATTTGGCTCTTTGAAAATCCAGCGGGACATAAGTACGCATGGCCTTTAACGTTCACGCAGCTCTTGATGCCAGCCTTGCCGATACCATGCAGCGCAGCACACAAACAAAAGAACGGTATAGAAGCCGAAGGTCCCAACAGCAGGTCAAATAGCGCAGCACACCATGCACGCACAGCAGGAAAAGTGCACGACCACGATGTGGTGCGTGCAGACATGACTGATGACCTTTCGAGGAGTTACAATACGGGAGAATGCACAACCATGAGAGCCCGTAAAATGCCTTCATGCAAGCTCCTGACTTAACAACAAAGGGCCAAAAGACAAGCGAATACTGGTGGTAATGCCAAAGTATTCGACACCCGTAAACAAGCGCAGGCAGGCGACGGAAAGCAAAAGGTTCAGCACAACTTTGAGGTTGATTTGTCGCTAGTGAGGGCAGCCCAGAGGATGTCTCACAGGGGTATGCGGAAGAAACAAATCCCGTACATCCGTCGTGATTGGAAGCGATTAATTCCAGGGCAAACTTAACGCCAACTGCTAGAGGGGTCGCATCGAAAATCGACTGTATGAATAGAAGCAGGTCACTAGGGATCGCTGGTGGCTTGGCTACAGCGCCAAAAGAAACGATTTATGCCAAATAAAGCACCTACCAGGGCACGTGCTGAGAGTTTCGTCAAAATGCAAGTAACTGGACTACCGACAAACACTAGAGCAGGCTCTAGAGTCCCTGAAAATGAATATTCCTTTGTCTTCCTGTGTTCTCTTTCGCGCAGGGAGACATTTATGCTTGCACCGACGGTACCTAGCCTTGCAAATTCCCACCACGGCTTTCCACTCTGTTCTGCGCCGAGTGTTCACAGCAGGTGGCTAACAAACACCGCCTGCACTTCCATGAATTGCCGAAACCTGCAATATGGACAGTAGGCGTTAGCTAGTCAACCCGTTCACGAATTGTTCTACTCCGTCTTCTGTCAGTGATGCGGAGCTATAATGTAATCACAGTGGCACTGCTGAAATGCTGAGCCTTCTACAAAGGAGCCCGCCACCAAATGGGAAGCTGCGCTAGGCTCAGCCCTCTGCAATGCGGTATCGAATCCGCCGTGGGGTTTGCTGATTTGTTCGTGGAAGCGGCTAGAAGGGCGATATTTTTGCAGGGAGAAGCACTTCTGGGCAGACCACACACGCCAAGATAAACTTTGTAAATGATCCAAATAGCCTTGCACTCCACCAGTCAGATTCTGTATCTTCTCCAGTGACTTCTGCTTGGTCTAATCCTCTTCCCAAACTTGGTTGTATGGGCTTGTTTCAGTTTTTGTGAGCCAGGTCAACTCACCTATCCTGCGTCTTCGAGAAATCCTAAGGACGATGAAAAACCCTTGCGACCATGTGCATTGGCCCTTTCGTTTGGCAGACGCAAGTATTGGCATGCTTCGTCTTCATCTCTTCTGGCTACTTGACGCAGTACACGTTCCTTTGACGGCCTCACGAGTCGTCTAAGGATGCAGAGAAAATTGCTTTACTTTTACAGGCGATACGTGCTCGGAAAAATGAGCTGCATACTTACTTCACGTGCTTCCAAACACCACAGTGGAATTCTATTGAGGGTCCCTACCGCGAGGTCCATATTGTTCTACTGCGTGCTTCTTCAACACACTTATATCTAGCATGCAGCTAAGACCTCCAATAAACAATTGGTACATAAAGCAGGGAGTCATTGCTGGGACGCAGAAACGGTGCCGCAAAAACATCAAGTTTGAAGAGGTCACTAGCGTCTCAAACACAAGAGCAATGCCAGACACCCGTATTTCGACGGCGACTCTGTGCCGAAAATTGTTCCATCTTCCTGCTGTATTTAAATGATGTCTTTGTTCCTAATAGAGCTTTTACATTCTAGTCAAGTCCAGCCACTTGGTGTTGTTTCCAATAGTGGCGTCTTGGGCCCCCGATTGTGCAAGATACCAGCACCCCTTCGACTTCACGTGAAACATGCTGGCAGTACGCAGTGCCTGAGCACGACTGTAATAATTAAAGAGAGGTGACCGCGACCAGCGTACGGGTTCCGAGCACGCTATTTCTGGACAATGCAGCATCAGCTGTGTCACGCAACCAACGAAACATCAACACTTTCCTTCTCTAAATACGTCAAATTCACTTGAACGAAATAGAGATGGCGCTTGCGGGGAACAAAATATCTCCCACTTAAGCGGAATTATCCAACTAGCCGCAGGTCGATTTCCGTCCCGGTACATACGCAGCGCAGCAACCATCCAGTTGAAGACACGAAAACACCTATTTGCCATATATTTACGGGATGTTTCCACCTTAGGAAATGACAGAATCCTGTCCATAACTTGCTTCCACCAATCCGCCTTCTGCATTGGCGCACCAACCACTGCACAAATGCTCCACAGGGCATCCGCTACTAGAAATCGACGGATTATGGGTTCGCGCATTTTCCAGGTGGGGACCCTTTCATTTATACAGAAGCCCATACTGTTAACATGCTTAACCAGTTGCTCAGCCAGCATTATTAATGACTGAAGATCGCCGGGTAGGAGTTGTTCTTTAGTCAACAATACCTGGATCGATGTCAGTGTTTGGGAGAGCTTAACTCGCGGGGTACACTTGGTGACTCTTGACATACTAAAAGGAATAAGTTTGCGCGAACAATCGGCCTTTGGCAAACGAAAGAACCGGTGTTTTCCCAATGATTCGTTGTCGATACTAATCTTGAAACGTAAGAAGCAAAGACACAAACGCAAAGGTGAGGGCAAAAGGCTGATTCACAAGAATGTGGTCATCGAAGAAGACATGGGCATTTACTGCGAATACGAGTGAGAGAATGCGTGTAATTAGATATTTGATCGGTCTCGTCAAGTCCTACACAGTTACAGGCAGCTGGAAATTGAGAGCCGGTGTGGAGATGAAACCGGAAAAGTTACCAGAAGCAGAAGAGCATTAAGATGGACGAAAATGGAAGTGCGAATAAGAGCTGATGGCTTATGGAGGTTGACCATAAGTTTGGGTGGTAAAACTTACTAAACCATGCATAGGCGCCGGGGTCTGCACCTGACTCGTTGACGGGAGCGATCCACCTGGGAGAGGCTGAGGCTCGTATACGATTATGCACTTGTCAAAGGGAGGAATGAATCGGGGAACCTGAAGCCAAGAATACATATATTTCAACAACCAAAAAAACGTGAAGTGAAGGAGCCAACAAAGAAGAATCCCACGGGGACCAACTCAAGTAACAGTCCACAGTAAAACACTCCCGACGATTTTGTCGGTGGAAGCCCGCAAGCTATGAGGCATACGCAACAACTCGTCTGCCAGCCTACGATGGGTCTGTGCCATAGCAGAAATCCTTGAAGCGGCACCGTTCAACATATCAGACATGATCGCTCACCTGCGAAGGAGTATCATGTAACCCTGAAAAGTTTTCTACCAACAGGGAAAGTGGGTGCATTTGCAGCTTCGGTAGGCCGCTTTTTGGTCGTGGATGCACTGCAGAGGGGTCCGAGTAAACCTGCACATCCTTGCCTTCACGAACAGGCAGCTGCGCGTCACCGCCTGCATTGCCATGCGCAACCGAACTCTGGCGTTCAGGCCTTGGACTGCCACTCGGAGGTAGTTGGTCAACAGCGTTGGCTGCCCTCTTATGAGGGAATTCATGCGAGCCATGGATCTGGTCCAAACCGCCTCCTGGCGATAAAGTCGAAGACGGATCGAGTATGTAATCGAGAAACCATTGCTCCACGGGTTCATCTCCCGTAAAAATATCCTCTATCACAGTGAACCATGGTGCAGATTCATCTTTATTCAATGTTGGGTCGATGTCTATTGTGTGTGGTGAACTGTTAGTCCCACCGGTTCCCTGATATTCATGCTGGGATTCTGGAGGAGGTTGGGAAGGAGGCGCCAACCAAGACGAACTTTCTGAGGGGACACAATCTTCCGGCAAGACTGGACTAAGATTCCGCCTATCCTCCTCAAGTGAGGGCTTCTTAGCTTGCTCTACTTCTTCACTTTGGTTATCTGGGCTAGGTTCCCTTTTTCGTTTGCCACTTTCCTTCCGAATGGCCTGGTTGTGCCATAGTGCATGGGGCATCGAAGATATCTTGCCACCATTTGCATTGATTGTTTCCATTCGCTCAAGCAAGTCAAGGCACATTTCATCTTCGTCGCTGTTTGCCAGCCGGCGCATGACTGGAGCCTTCGACTTCAAGAGACTTCCTGGCGAGGTACAAAAATACACCAGTAGGACGAGGGCTAGAAGAGCTGAGAATACAGAGCTAATTATGACTGCCCTGCTATTTCTACTCTGCCCAACACGAAGCGAAACGACGCTTTCATTTTTGCTAGTTTGAGGGGGGAGCGTATCGGACCACCGAGCAGCGCTATCAGGCTGGCTCCAGGAAAATACAGCTCCCGACAGCATGGGGATATTTGCATTTCACAATAAGCAAAATCGCCTTTATAACTTCAGGGAGAGACCGGTCCAAAAGACACGTCTGCAGAGCATGCTAGGCGCGGGTAAAGAACCAGGGTATGTGTCGCCGATGGTGGGCCGATGGAGAAGCGAGAAAGTGCCACTAGCCAGTTGCCCCCAGGCATATGCAGAAGAGCAACATTCTCGAATTTCATACTGTGCTGTCCACTGTTTCAATTCCAACATTGTGCACCTTTGTAGGGAAGCAAATGCACTTTCGCCCAGCCCCCGCCTCGTTAAGGACACGCTCGAGCGGGGCTTGTCTCGGATGCACCCGCATAAGAGAATTCTTCAACCTTCGTCAGAAGTTATCTAATGTGCTTGAAACTTCAATTTTCTATAGATTCTGTTGTGTCTTACAGACTCTAAACCCAGCGTACGGTGCTCACGAAGCGGGATTTCCTCGTAGCTGTGTAGTGTCTCAGATTCGACTGCACGATGCGATCTACCCTCGGCGACTTTGTGGGTGAACAGATGAATCCACTGCTAGGCTTGTGCGACACAGTTTCAATGGTGCTAACACAATTTTCGGCATATTTCTGAAGCGTGTCTGAGGTGCAGCTTCATGCAAACTCCAGGTTATTCTGCAGGCAGAACTGCCGGCGTCGGGCAGACGGACAAACGATGGTACACAGACTTTGTAGTGCACAGGCACTACAATAGGGCTAATAGGGCTATGGTAAGGCAGCAGCCTAGTGGTCAGAGAAAGAAGGATTATCACATTAAAAACCAAGAAGAGCAATTAATACTGCTAGAGGTTCTAAGAATCGAGTACCATAGATAGGTTAGTAGGATTACCCTCGCCGGCAGCCACTCCACCACTCGGGTACCAGGGAGGCTCCTTTAGAGATCTAACTAGATAGGCGATAGAAGCATTACTATATATGTGTATTATGCCTGTAATTACGACCTTGGTGGAGCGCTAGGTCAGGCGCCTGACCGTTCCACCACCATTACGATTGACCCCTCCATCCTGTAGGTCTGCACTGACACCTAGCCATGACCGCGGTCAATTCGGAACACAGTTCTTTTATTCCACGAACTCGCATTATTATTACAGACTCCCTAAAATGATTTGTATATTCGCGCTGTAGACTTCGGGGGATCTTGGTAGTCAAAGGTTATACTTAGGGAGTAGGGACTACGCGACTACTAGTAGGCATGACCCAGGACGGCCACGCACTACAGGTTTGCCAACATCAGCCACAGTCCATCTATATCTCTCTGATACGATACAATCTCTCCGATGATTGCTAGCATCTGATATACTTTGCCAGACGCTGGTGAACCTGTTTAGGACAGTCCACCCGATGTTGTTACGGCTGTAAAGGGGATCGCACGTCATATCTGCAGACTATTGCGAGCTGCAATTTGTTTGGTTGATTATGTATGCGTGCTTGTTGATTTGACATGGTACCAAACAAATCGTTGCAGATGAGCGTACCAAAACAACCAATTAATGAACCCCGTCTAGCGGGCTGGCTTCCGTAGGCAAAGCTGCCTCAGTACCATGTTGCACCCCCTCCAGGCATGATCTCAGGTACAGAAATGACTACTTGGT